AGGAACAAGTTCTACCAGAAAGTACCGCAAAAAAACATTGGCTCCTTCATTCAAGGTCTCCTTCCTCTACTTTTTCCTTCCCTCTACTTCCTTCATGGTTTTTGTGGTATCAAATTAGAGTAGGTTGAGGGGGAAAAAGTTTATTGACGCTACTATACTCTCCCGTCCCTCTATCCCTCACCTCTCTCCCGCAGCCCTCGTCATCATTTCCTCCATCCCTCCGACCGCTCCCTCTACCATCTTCCCTCCCTCCCTCCATCCCAGCCTCCCTCCCTACAATTCTAGGGTGACACAAGTGGAGAACTACAGACGCGTATACTAATGGCACTGCAGAGCCGAGACTACACTGAACGTCGCTGGGGATAATCAAACGTTTTGCTATGTGACTGCTGTGTGCATACAAGATTGCTGCCTCACAATTCAAGAGTCTGCGGGTTTCTCGGACTGCGTTAGAGTACAAGTGGAAAAAAACATGTCTCAACATGAAGGGGGATATAGGATGAGCTTTGAGCCACCAAAAAGGAAAGAAACAGGCGTCAGGACACAGCAAAGATGCACAAAGCTACATGGACACCATCCCTATATCTTTGTCTCTATTAAACTTTACTTTCAAGGTAAAAGTTAGGAGTGGAAATGACGGAGGACGCGCAAAGCGCGGCTCTTTCCCAATTAGGGAGAAAATGTCAGCAGTGCGAGATTGGTGTGAACATACACAAAGTATAGGGATGGTGTGTATGTAGCTTTGGCGATCTTTGCTGTGTAATGACCCTTTGTTTCTTCCTTCTTTGTATCGAGACTACGTACTTAGTGATATACCTGAAATATAGGCTAAGGGAACAAGTAAAGGTTTCGTCACCTGTGGAACATGCAGTGAACCTCTCACTGAGCTGGAGTGTGTTCCATTTCACAATACGTTGGTGTCTTTCACACTTGTGCTTATAGCTATAATTATAGACTTGTGTTTTGACATTATTATAAATTTTGCCGGTTTCTCTGTATATAGCAAGTTGCTTGCTCATAAACTCAGACTGACGCACGTGCTTTCTCAGTAACTCGGACATTATAACAACTCATGTGATGCCGGTTGAGAGGAAGTATGTTACACAAATAGAGCCATGGGCGGGGATAAAAACAGATGAAAGAGGAGGAGGAGGGAGACGAAGGAAGGTGTGGCTGTCATCTCTTTTCCAGGAGCTCGGGGTGTTTGTCGATGATAGAGACCAGGAGACCTTCAATGTATTCGTGGAGTCTTGCGCTGTGCACTTCTGCTTCCCTCAGAACCTTCATCACCTGTACATTCACACATTACATCATACTTACATCACCTGTACATTCACACATTACATCATACTTACATCACCTGTACATTCACACATTACATCATACTTACATCACCTGTACATTCACACATTACATCATAGCGTCAGTTCATTTGCACACTGCACATCATCCTACATCGCTTTCCACATTGAACTACATGTACAGTGGAACCTCCGATAAGGGACCCTCCGAGATAGGGACGGCCTCTCTACAAGGGACACTTGTTTCAACCCCATGCTAATACTTTAGGGTATTATTTGACCTCCGAGATAGGGACGACCTCTCTACAAAGGACACATGTTTCAACTACTTTAGTGTATTATTTGACCTCTGAGATAGGGTCGACCTCCCTACAAGGGACAAAATCGTTGGCCCCATAGTGTCCCTTGTTCAGAGGTTCCACTGTATATGTACGTATGTTGCATGGAAGTCTTCAATGTATGGGTATCGGAGGATACATAGGTCTATGCAGCATGTTGCACGAACCAAACAATAACCATATTCATTGTTGAATTCACGTATAAAGTCGCCGCGATGTATTTTTTGCCTTGTAACTGCCTCATTAAAATTAATAGGGGTATGTGAGGTTTATGGCATGGCCAGTATAATAAGGGCTAAATTTAAAAACTGTGACTAACTAATTAGATTATTGCACTGGGCCCTATTGTTTTGTTCATTTATAATATAGCCCTTATGTATACTGACGCATCCTTGTTAATGTGTGGCCTACTGTGCATCATTTCTCACGTCATCTTTGGAGGCATCTTCCATCTCGTCAGCGAGGGACTGAGTGTTTTGAGACAACAGTTCCTTCCCGTGTTGTAGGAATCTGGCCTGAAGACCTTCATTGTCTCTCTTCAGCTTCTCTATCTCCTGATAGAGGAGGGGGGAGGGGGAGGGGGGTGAAGAAAGAGGGGGGTTGGTGAAAATAAAGGGGGAGGTAGAGGGATAAAAAGGGGGAGGGAGTAAGAGGGCTAGCAAAGGAACAGAGGGGGGCTTGGAGAAGAGGCTAGGGAGGGAAAGGGAGGGAGGGAGGGAGGGAGAGAGTGGAGTGATGAAATGTGAAAGAGAGCAGGGTTTGGGAAAGGAGGGAGAAGTAGGAAGGAGGTAATACAGAGGAAGAAGAGTTGGAGTGATCAGGAAGTGGTGAAATGGAATGGAGGGTGTAAAGAACAGGGGAACTAGTATAAGAACAGCGGTGTGTGTGTGTGTCGGGTATTGGGGGAAGAAAAGGAATGGTGTGTGTGTGTATACATATGTCTACCAGACCTTTCTGAGTCTGGAGACCTCGGAGTCCATGTCAGAGACCGTGAGAGACCGTCTCTTCTTCTCTCGTCCTGCTTCCTCGCACGCCTTCTGCCAGCCTCTGATCTGACCTTCATACTCCACCACCACCTACATTTATGACACGATGAAACATACACACACTCATGCTCAAGTCTTCATCAATGTGTAACGCAAGTCGGGTTAAAGGGAATGTGTCAGTATATTACACAAGGGCTAAATTTAGAAACTGTTACTAAAAATGGACTTAATTTGCATACTTGCACTGGGTCCTATTGTTTAGTTCTATCTTTAGTACCTCTTCTAAATATAGCCCTTATCTACTGCCAAATTTCCTTTAAGTCTAGGCGCAATCGGACATTTTCACATGGATGCATGGACCCACTAAAACGCAGCATAACATGTTCATCTTGTAATCACATCAGCAATAACTGTTGAAGTACACACAGGCAACTATTGTTAATTTCCGATGGTTAGTTAAACGGGTCAGTCACACACCAGTTGGGAAGAACCTCGGCCATCTTGTAACCCCATCGCACCGTAACAGGACACTCGTTGTGCGAACATTTTAACACGAATATCACAGAGAATGACCTCCATGGAATGCTTGTCACACAGCTACAAAAATGTCTCTGCCCACGAAAAATATACAAAAGGGAGTTTCTCACACAGTGAGTTTTCAGTATTTATACAGCGTACGATAGTTTGGACTACCGCCCCCTACAGTTCACGAGAGAGCTAGAGAGAGGGAAAGGAAGAGAACTGTTTGCCTATGTTGTACTGTAGTTAGAACAGGTTCGGAACTGTAGGACTGTTTGCCTATGTTGTACTGTAGTTAGAACAGGTTCGGTAGGGTCCAACCACCCCCAACTCATGCAAACAAAGGGGGACTGCAGACTACAGCCTCTGGCCTGCCATCACCTGTGAATGAGCCACTCTCTCTTTGATTCTCTCCTCCTCTCCATCCTCAACACCTCCCTGGCCCTCCTCACCTCCACCTCCATCTCCCTCCCCCTCTCTTCCAGCACACTCACACGACCCTCGCACTCCTCCAACCGCTGCACATTGACCATTACGTCATAGCGACATCATCATCATACTTGGTGGCGACATCACACTTATATACATACCTCGTTGGTTGTTGCGAGTTGTGCTCTAATATTCGCTTCAGTGGAGTCGATACCTCTCAATCTCTTCCTTTCTGGTTTGTAACCTTGAGGGAGATACGTACAGTAAACCCTCTGATATAGGACACAATGGAGGGGTTGCGGACTGCAGCATGCACTACTGCTATAATGTATTAAAAAACCTCCAAGGTGAGCGGGCGTTATTTAGAGATCTCGGACGGCCGCTGGTACAGAGACTCTGGCCCCTTCTTGTGTCTTAAAAAACCTCCCAATAAAAGATACACTTTGTGCTTCAAACGTTCACTTTCCTAAAATGAACAGAACCTCCCTATATTATATAAGTAAAAAAAGCCTGGTCCCAATGTGTCCTTTATTCATTCAGAGGTTACACTGTAATTTTACAGCGATAATACTGCACATTGTGTACATAATACGGCTCCCAGCTTGTCATGGATCAGGCATGTTGAGGTTTTGCAGAAACAGTGGCCGGCAATATAATATTTCAGTTACCCAATACCTAAAGCACTCTTGTTCCCAGACGAATATTTTCAAAACTACACTTATGAAAACTGTCAAAATAATCCACCTCGAATGCTGGTTCAAAAGCCTATTATTAACAAGGAATAGAGAGAAAGAGGCAAAGAGGGAGGGAGAGGAGGGAGGAGGAGGGGAGGGAGAGAGAAGAGGGAGGAGGGGAGGGAGGGAGAAAAGGGAGGGTGAGGAGGGAGAGGAGGGAGGGGAAGGAGGAGGGGAGGGAGAGAGAAGAGGGAGGAGTAGGGGAGGGAGAGGAGGAGAGGAGGGAGGGAGAGAGAAGAGGAAGGAGGAGAGGAGGGAGGGAGAGGAGGGAGAGGGGCAGCTCACTGTGAGGAGAGGTCGTCCAACTGAGCCTGACTCTCTCTCCTCAGTCTGTTGATACTCACAGCATGTCTGTCGTCATTCTCCTACACAACACAACACAACACACGTACATATGTATAATACATACATCACTGACAGCATACAGACCATTTCTGGTTAGTGAAGCGAGCAGTTAAACTTTTCGCGCATTTTTCATGCGTATTTAGAACCACGTGCAACATTACGGTGTGTGCAGTGCTGGAAATGGTGTACATTCTACCTAGTCGTTTCAATGCGGGAATTTTTCTTTGCTTATAACTATCGGTCGGGCGCTGTAACTACTGTAATGTCCTACGTGACACGTACTATGTCGTACCTAGTCCTTTTCAATGCAGGAATTTTTCTATAGCTATCAGTCGGGCGCTGTCACTACCATAATGTCCTACGTGATGCGCGCAAAATATTAAACTGCTCGCACTCGCATGCCAACAATGCATTGCATTCCTCTAGTGTATTATACATATGGAAGTCAGACGACTAGGTAGGCACACGCTTCGCTCGTCAATAATTCTTGCTGTCACTGGCAATGTTGTTGCCACTGATACAGTGTGTACATACCTGTAGAATTCTTTGTGATAACTGCTCAGTGGAACGAATTCGCTCATCGCATTCTTCCATTCTGTCAAAAATGGATAAAAAGTATCTCATAAGCTCTCATAACTCAAAGTCTGCAATGCAACGCAACACAAGCAAACACCAAACTCTGTGTAACCGTTACACATGTTCAAGCTTGAATTTTGGCGTTGTTACATTATTAGTGCAGGGAATGTGGCAGTAAAAAGAGCTATATTTAGAATAGAACAAGACAATAGGGGGACAGTGAAAGAACGCAATTGAGTTCCGGTTTTAGGCTAAATATAGTCCTAATATACTGCCACATTCCCTTTAATCACTGACACCCATGGCAGGTATATTGTCTTTAGGTCTGCCCTGCATGGGACCTAAAACCAACAACACTCGGGTCTCTGGACAGAGTACTCTAACCACTGAGCAACAGAGGCAGCTCAGCAGGCAGGGCAAAAAGTCAACACAACACAAGGCAATTAAAGGCTAACAATATACTATGGCACTGACACCCGTCACTTACTACATTGTATAAGCAGACCAAGCCATCGGTCAAAGCTGACCCTGGCTCTAAGTCTAACCGCCATAAGCAAAGATATCACGTGATACTGTAATAGAACACGTGACAATCACGACACTTTGCATACGGACATGTTTGAAGAGGCCGGCTTACAGAGGCCAACAGGCCGGGGGTACCAAAACTACCAAAGACGCCCAATTCCAAGAAATCAACAGCTCTCCTTCTCTCTCTCCTTCCCTTCTTCCCTCACCTCTCTTGAAGGGCCTCTTTCTCTCTCCTGAGTCTCTCCCTGGCTCCAAGACTGCTTCTCTGGTCCTCCTCGAGATACTCTAACTTTGACGACAGGTCATCCAGCTACACATACATACCACCACCAACATATTATATCCACAAATCCCAAAATACAAAACACATACACAAATACACATGACATGACTTGAGAGCAGGACACTGGGTGCCCAGCCTTGAGAACCGGGGCGGTGGGTTGGGCGGTGGGTTTTATTATTTTTTATCTATCTATCTATCTATCTATGTATATGTACCTATGGCTGGTATGCTATGAACTATAATTTCATACATACATACATACATACATACATACATACAGCAAGAAACGTATGGTGAACGGTCAATCAGCAGTATACTGAGTGAGAGTATATCACAGGTGGTTGAGGTGTGCCTTTGTGTTGTATTGTGTTGAAGATTCGAACCCCTACCAGCTGAGTAGCCCTGGTAGCCCAGTTGGTAGAGCGCTTGCCTAGACTGCAGAGTGTCGTGGGTTCATAGCACAGTGGTTTGAGGTTTGCCTTGTGTTGTGTTGTGTTGTAGATTCGAACCCCTACCAGCTGAGCTGCCCTGGCAGCTCAGCTGGTAGAGCACTCGCCTGGAGAGTCGTGGGTTGGAATCCTACCAAGGGGAGCTGTTCTCCTTCATACAAAGGTGCCCTTTGTAGTATTAAACACTAACGTGTATATTAGTATAAGGGGAAAAACTTCATAGAGGTGTCCTTAGAGAGTCTCTTTTCAAGGTTTCACTGCTAATGTACCTGGTCGCTGAGCTGAGAGACCATCTCCTCGGCCTCCTGCTCGGCCGGAGTGCTGCATTTGCTGCGACTGAGGGCCGGGGACACTGGTATGGCGAGCTGACTGTGACGACCCGCTCGCAGTCTACCAAATCCCCCGGGGATGTCCCTGGGAGAATTAGAGTGGATGTGGCAGTATATCAGAGCTAAATTTAGAAACGGTTACTAAAAACAGTCTCCCGTTATACGTACCTCACAGCTGAACCAGCCGGTAGAGACTGTCTTCTTAACGGTAATGGTCTGGAAACAGTCAGAGACTAATATCAACACATGCAGGTAGCACTTTATGGTAAGTATATAATCAGTATATATACAGTAAAGGCCGGATGATGCACGATGCAACCTTTTTGCAAGAGACAAAGTACTAGCATGAAACTTCAAATGTATGGGTATAATAGACGGTGCATTTCGTGCAACGTACGAAGAGTGAAGTGGAGTCCCAGCGTCATCCTCTCCGTCTCCTGACAGTGATGTGAGGTCACAACTCGGAGGAGAACTGGGGAGAAAAAGAGGGAAGCGAGACAATCGAAAATGAAAGAGACTTTTGTATACCCAAATTACACTTTGTATGCTAATATTTAGGGCTGTTACGGTGTAATAGAAGCATTGGTTCACTAAACATGAGGTCTGTGGCTTGAAATTCACCGGTGTGGTGATTTTCGTTCCGCTCATAATGGTGTACATACTTGCTGTGTTTCAGTGATGCAATGACGCAATAGTACGTCGCTAGGCCCCAAAACTACATGTGTCCGTATCACATGAGTTTCTAGAACATTCTCTGGGATGCACTGTAGTTGTACCTACACAACCAGAAGTTTGAACTCGAATCAGTACTGAATTCAGTCCGAATCGAGGTCGCCTACGCTGTCGAATCAGGGCCATTGGGGCACGACCGCATTTCGAGATTTTAGAGCCGAGAGATTTTCGGCAGCAAGTCGAATACTTGTAGGTACGTACCTGTCAGTGTGATAGCCATTGGGGATGAGGGAGTGTGAGGAGGGGAAGAGGGGATGGACCAGCGAGTCACTCCCAAATGCCTCCTCCAACATTGAGCTACACTGAAGGAAAAAGAGAGAGGGAGAGAGAAAAACAATTACAAACTATAAAGTCCTTTTGGGCCCAGATTACACACGCAATAACAGATGTAATACGGAATGTAGGTAACGTTTTAGTCAACCATAAGCCAAGTAGCACGTGGTGCAGGAGGTAGGGCAGTGGTGGACTGTGCCATCTTTACCCCAGCCATTAATTGTTCTCACTTTTTTCTTGGTTACATAATAATGTTGACCCTCCGGAGATATGAGATAAAATTGTGACTATGTTACTTGGCCTCTGACACAGTGGAACCTCTGAACAAGGGACACTATGGGGCCAACGAGTTTGTTCCTTGTAGAGAGGTTGTCCCTATCTCGGAGGTCAAATAATACACTAAAGTATTAGCATGGGTTGAAACAAGTGCCCTTTGTAGAGAGGTCGTCCCTATCTCTGAGGTTCCACTGTACATTATACAATAATTATGTACACTGGCTAGTATGCTATAAATAATACTTTTCATGTGTAATACAGACATTGTGAATACTGATGCGGAATTCACACATTTATGAATCCTCCCCCTGACGATGATCAATAACAACTACTGTACGTATACTGGTGCATTACAGCAGACTGCAGATTAGGCGGATGACTTGTATGTACATAGAGTGGAACCTCCGAACAAGGGACACTATGGGACCAACGAGTTTGTCCCTTGTAGAGAGGTCGTCCCTATCTCGGAGGTCAAATAATACACTAAAGTATTAGCATGGGGTTGAGTCTCTTGTAGGGAGGTCGTCCCTATCTCGGAGGTCAATAATATTAAGTATTTGAATGGGCAAGTGTCCTTTGTAGAGAGGCCGTCCCTATCTACTGTACTTAATAAACATGTAGTTGCACTGATGCTAACAAACGCCAACTGCTCTCTACTCTTTTGGTATGTATGTAGTAGACTATTTCCTTCTCTCTCTCTCCCTTTCACTTTGCACGCTTTACTAACACACACACACACACACAGACAGACACTGACATATCACACTAGGTTACTGGCCGAAAAATCAACTTGGGAGTGGAGGTCTTAATGTACACACGTGATACATACATACACGGAAAATAGAAGTGGTCTTTGGTGCAGGAAATTCTATACGCAGTATAGAGCATGCTGGCATTAATGAGTGATGTGTTATACAATGTGCATACAAATGACGCACACTTTCCGGGTAGAACACAAGTGTACCTTGTGTACAATGTTAGCCGGTTACCCATTACTACATACGTATGAATGGACAGGAACTACTGTGATAGAGGATGCTGCATATTATAAAGGAAGCTATATAGTATTTGTGAACTTGGCAATGGTAGAGAGAAACTGACAGTTATTCTAGTCTCATCCTGTAATGCGTGATTGACTGAAGAAAGTCGACGGACCAAGATAATTATAATGCCTCCACTACCACCAAGTTGGAGAATATGATATACAGCTTGTATTATGCTTATTGCAAACCTCAGTAGGAGACGATGGAAGATCAATGTTGGAGGAACCTTGACTGGTGGAGCGACTTCTGGCACTCCCTGTGGTGTGGGTAAGGGGGAGGGAGGGGAGAGAGGAGAGGGAGGAGGGAGAGAGGAGATGGAGAGGGAGAGAGAGAGGTGAGAAGGGAAGGAGGGAGTGAGAGCAGAGAGAGAATGATGAGAGAGAGAGAGAGTGAAATGAGGGAAGAGAGATAAAGAGTAGACCACCATGATGTAATGTGTGGGGCAGTGTGTGTGACTCACGTGAGGTGAGAAAGGTCTCTATTCCAGCCCGGAACATGGAGAATGTGACACGCCCAGTTCCCATTGGGTCGATCTGTTGAATCAGAACTTCCATCGGCTAGAGGGGGACAAATATTTTACGCAGACGTTCACTGCCACACCCCTTTAATTAATCTCAACACAATTGTTCAAGAGGCCCTACATAAAAGCAATCTCCACTGACCTGGCTGGCTATAATACATTGCTCTGTGTCATAGTACACGGCTACAGAACCTTCTCATATGTTGCAACTGCACTAAAGATCCCAGAGAGCCGATGATACTGTGTGTGTGTTTGTGGTTTATGCATACTCGGTACTAGTGAGAGCTTCTTAGCTTTTCTCTTGGCCTCAGACGCACATTACTACTAAAAAACGGGGCGTAGATGGAGCGAGTAAAACACCAGCTGATCTTAGCTTACACGCTCCGCTAAAAATGGCTAAGTAAACAGCGTGGAGGTCCTAGACACACGCTCGCTACTATGCAGCTAAAGAGAGGTAAAGGAGCTAGCTAGCTAGTCCAGCTGACCTTCGTCTTGTCGAAGTGGTCCCGGCCAATCTGCCGGAACTCATCCACGGAAATTACTCCGTCTCTGTCTCTGTCGCACAGGTTGAACACGAACCGTAGCTGCTCCAGCGAGTCCTCCTCTTCCTCCTCCTCCTCCTCCGTGACACCCCTGCACGGGTCCGCCATCCCCTCCAGTGCTCGACCTGGCTCTCTATTATGAGGGGGCAGCGAGCGACGCGTCCCGTCCTCCTTTTTCACGTCGTGGTTCCGTTCCAAACCATGCACAATACGCATGCGCAAATGAGCTAACTCGCGATCGAAGGCGCGTCTGCAGGAGAACTTGCCGTCTTCCATTAGTCTCGGCGAGACTAATGGAAAGACGGCAAGTTCTAACGCCTGACTCGCGAGACTAACCACATACCTTGAAGGCAGCCTGAAAACCTAAAGCCCCTCTGGCCTCGCTGGAGAAACCTGCTAAATCTCCTGGCAGCAGTGCAGTTGAACCACCCGGAATTTACTTGCGTGGATTACGTAATGCAAATCGCTCATCGCACGCATCCTAGCGGTGTTGCGTGCTGCATGTGCGCGCATGCATGTTCGATCGCGATCGATCGGTCGGTGACCTAGGTCATCACGTGACTGTTCATAGATACACATATATACATCCAGCTCTAGCTCTGTCTCGATCGCGAGCTCAGCCATGGCCTCTCTTCATGCGCATTTCTTAGATTGGATCGACGGTTTGGAGTTTAAGATTTGCCCGCGATGTTCGGGCTGCATAACGTGCTGTCAGCGCACAGGTTTCTTTTCGTGAAGCAAGAAAGATCTACCTGTCGCCGTTACATGCGTATTGTACATTGGCAGAACGGTGAACAGGTGAGCAGAACGGTACTTCCCTTACGCTTTCAGCTAGCTCGGTCGTGGTCTACCAGGCAGCTGGCATGCAGCAGTACGTGCACGAGCAATCCTAGCGTATTTGCAAGTTGCACCTTGGAACCATGAAGATTGGAAAAAGGTACAGCCTCGGTCAGTCACCGAAGGTTCCAGCGCATCCGTCGTATGGAGGAGAGTTCTCTCGCTGGCTTAGATCGTTCGGCCGGCGCATATCGTGTAAGAAGAAGCGCGTATAAAGCCGCGCATGCGCACTTGCACGACGCACACGACTAGACTGCTGTCGGTCGTATATATACCGAAAATTCCGCTCGAAGGAAAGACTAGGTTGGCTCGCTCCCGCTCGCCAATTAATCGTGGC